CAAAATGATGGAAACTTTTGGATTTTTATAGTTGAAAAAGGCCACTTTCATTTCTTCAGACATCTCAAGTGGATTAAGTACAATAAAAAAAGGGTTATGTCCTTTATGTCACTCACTAACATCATGTGCCCTTGTTTTATTGTATAGTAACAATGGATGTAAACCACAATCATGTGTTTACTGAAAATCAAGTGGTTTTTGTTTTTTTGATGGGTATCTAAGTGGTTTTTATTAAGCACGTGTTCCGATTCTATAGGAAATGTGGAAGGGATGCAAATTCATGCCTGATATCTGTCGTTTGAGACCAAATTGAGTGAAAGTTTAGATGACAATTTGAAGGTCTGGAATTGGAGCCATCACTTTTTGTGCTCATTTTAGCTTCTATTAAATCTAACCTTCTATGTAATATTGTTTAAAGGAGATGAGGGAAATGAAAGAAAAACATGGATTTGAAGCATAATATAAATACTAGTAAGAATATGATAAGCAAGTTGCCCATTTGAATGGTTTTTTGATCCTCAGACACTCACCTAAGGAAAGTTTCCAATCTCACAAAACAGGTCTCTCTCCTTCTTCTACTTCTTCTTCTTCTTCTTTCTTTTTTTTCTTTTTTTCTTTTTCTTTTTGTGGTTTATTGATGCCTTAAATTATTTTGTTTTAACAAATTAAATACGTCTTTTCAATTTGATCAAAGAGATTATTCATGTTGGATAATAAGTCTTGTAAAAAAATTATATTTTCATTACTTTGTTTGAGAAATAAATTTCTTAGAAACAAATTCTTTATAATTTATTTGATTTAAAGTGAGGGAAGGACGGATAAATATCCCTCTTTGGATAGCAAAAAAATAAAGAGAAAGGGACGGGGCCAAACAAGGAGAGGAGTAGGGAGGAGCTTTTTTTAATGGGTGATGATATGAAAGACGAAAATACGAGATGATTTTATAGAACCAATGACATGATTTGTTAATTGTCTATCATGTGAGACTCTCTTTAAAGTAATATTTTGTTGAGATGGTTGTTACCTCATGTTCGTCATCTATTTTTGTCTCATTTTATCGTCTCAATTATCATTATTTTTTTTTAATTTCTTTTATATTTTCAGCATAACCAAACAAAGAAAGAAAGGAAGGAGGAGAGAAAGGGGAAAAAAATAAAAGGATATTTTCTACCTCCCCCTCTCCTTTATTCCTATCCTTTTTTTCAAACTAAATAAGGGATAAAATAAATCGATTTTATTTGAATTGTCTTACTTGTTAAAGGTTGAGATCATGACGTGCTAGTCCAATATGAACCATGAAATTTGAGGTTGGACCATTTTATACCCACCGATAAAGCTGTGCCCAACTTTCATGGTAAAGAAAGTTGATAGTCAATTGGTCATTGTCAAGCTTTAGTTTGTCTAACTTGATGTGGATGAGGCAGAGGAGCATTGTATTTTTTTGTTTTCCTTTTTTTCCCTTGCTGTGAATGACTCACAACAAGAGGTTTCTTTCCCCATAAAGTTTTTGGCTAAGATTGAAGCTTGTCAAGGTTTTCAGTCATTGTAACCACTGATGTATAATGCTTTCAATTCCAACTAAAGGACATTTCACAGACAATCAAAACTGGCTCTGTCATTCAACTTAAAAAAGGATTTGAAACTACACTCTTTTATGATTTCATCTTTTCCATCTCATAAACTAAATAAAATTTATAATGATTTAACATATTATTAATACTATCTATTTCAACTTATTAAGTTTGTAATTTTAAAACGTGTGAATAGGAGGATTCATTACTCAAATTATAAAAGAAAAGGTAGGGCTAAATTCATGTTACCATTAGTGAACGAGATGCACTCTTCAGTCAAATTTGTAGGGGCTTACCCTAGGAGCTGTTTAGTTGAGGTTTTTCTCAGAAAAAGAATTTAGGAAACTGACCAAAAATGCTTAACTTGACTTGGAGAAACAAACTTCTTAACACACAAATCAAAACATAATATAGTTGGTTATAACAGAGAAGAAGGCTTGTTGACTTAATGACCCAACAGCTTAATATAAACCTTTTTCATTATGACGAGGGTTCGATTCCCCTCTTCACCCGCCTCTCCCCTCCCATCAAACCACTTGCCCTAATAAAAAAAAAATTATATCACCACTTTTTGAAGAAAGTTATTTTATATGATTTTTTTTAGAAAAGTAATATGATTGATTATAAATAAAGAATACTCGAATATATATAAATATATAATCATTTACTTTCCTTTGGTAATAAACACATTGCAAATATAATTGATTATTTTCTTTTTATAACCAATTATATTGTGTTTCAAGTTGTGTACCAAGAAATATCCTTTTGTAAGCCAATGTCGGCTTCTCTAAATTCTTTTTTTGAAAAAGATCTCAACCAAAACAGGTACTAGATTCTAATTTCTAAGAGGGAAGGAATTACAAACTCAATAATGGTGAGGAAAGGTTATTATAAGTAAAAAATGGCAGAAAGTGTGAGGGTTTCTGCTTGGTGGCAGGCAAAGAGAGGGACCAGGAAAATGTAGTTGTCACAAGACAACCCAACGTGACCGTGTAGCTCTATAATCATATAAAAAATTGAGTCACACTATAAAGACAATTTTTTAATATTATTTTTTGATATAATTTTTATATATTATTAAATAAATAGATGCATTCAATATCACATATCTCATATAATTATATAAAAAAAATTATATGATTATATAAATGAATATATTCAATATCACAAAAAAATACAATTGTCAGAAGACAACCCAACATAAGAGTGTGTGGTTCTATAATCATATAAAAAATTGAGCCACACTATAGAAACAATCTTTTTATATTATTTTTTGATATAATTTTTATATGTTATTAAATGAATAGATGCATTCAATATCACAGATCTCATATAAATAAAAAGAATCAATTATTTAAATAACACTACAAATTATAAAAAAAATGATATAAAAAACTTGTCCCCAAATCATTTTTCTAAAAAATTCTAGACACTTAATAGATAAGTATCAA